CTTTATAAAAAAAATTTATTTTTGTTTTTTTGCGTGTATAATGACATAAAATTGTGCAAAAATAAATTCTATTGCGAGCATTAATGAAATAAGAATAAACAAATACAATAAAAAAAATGAGACATAAACATGGCAAAATAAAAAAAATTTTATAAAAAAAAATTATTTTTGTTTTTTTGCGTGTATAATGACATAAAATTGTGCAAAAATAAATTCTATTGTGAGCATTAGTAAATAATTTTAATGTTTAAATTAAAATACAAGACGTATGTATGTATGTATGTATGTATGTATGTATGTATGTATGTATGTATGTATGTATGTATGTATGTATGTATGTATGTATGTATGTATGTATGTATGTATGTTTATGTATGTATATAGAGGAAAAGCCGGCTGTAGCGTCGATCAATATTCAACATATTCTCATATTACGTACTCAGGGGAAGCTTTTCAGCTTTCTAACATTATGAAATATGATGGATGGATAGATGGATGGATGGATGGATGGATGGATGGATGGATGGATGGATGTAGATGGATGTAGATGGATGAACGGACGGACGGACGGACAGGTGGATGGATGGATGGATGAATTGGTGGATGAATGGGTTGATGAATGGATGGCTAGATAGATTGATTGATATATGTATTTTTATGTGTATGTATGTATGTTGGTTTTTTGTATGCTGTTTGTATGTATGTTTTTATTTTTGTATGCTAGTTCGCGTACATTGTAATCTATTAAACATTCCACTAAAGTTATAATACTTTGTTTGTGTCGATAGTATTTTTAAGCATGTATGTTTGTTTATATAGGTGTGTGTATGTATGCATGTTTGTATGTAAGTATTTTTCTCGTGAAATTATAACTGTATGTATCAATGTTTGTATATACGTTTGGTTATAGCATGTTTTGTATATGTTTTTTTTTTGTTTTCCCGTAAGTTTGTGTGCAATATTTTTGAGTACGACATTGTATACGAGTGGTTTATTCTTAATTCACAATTCATGTGTTTGTAGGTGCATTATGTATGTATATATGTATGTTTATTCTTTTGTATATGAATGAATTTGTATGTAGTTTGAACGCAGACATGCATGTTTTTATACTTTTACATGGAGGCATGTTTATTCGTTTTTTAAAAATTTTTAATCATCTCAAGCAATTGAATTTTCTTCAATATGTGCGTGGTTTATATTGCTTTTTGATGTTGTTGCAACTTCTGTTAACGCTGTTGTTGATGATGTTGTTGTCGTTTTTGTTTTTCTATGTCTTTTCTTGCTTTTATTGGTGTGTACATACAAACAAATATACAAACACACATGCAAACATACATACAAACATACATATCTACACACATACATATATACACACACACATACTTACACACATACTTACATACATACATACATACATACATACATACATACATACATACATACATACATACATACATACATACATACATACATACATACATACATAAATACATACATACATACACTCACACATACATACATACATACATACATACATACATACATACATACATACATACATACACTCACACATACATACATACATACATACATAGGAAGCTTAGTTGCGTACATATGCTAATGCAGCGTTGAA